TCAACGGGACACCACGGGACACCTGTCGGTCTCAGTATCGATCTCATTATCGATCTCACTTTTTGGGACACCACGGGACACCACAGGACATCGATCTCAATATCGATACGGGGACGCCCGGGACACCCGGGACACCGCCTGGCCCAACCGGCCACCGGAGGACGAGCGACGGACACCCTGGACACCCGGGACACCGCCCGGCCCAACCGGCCACCGGCGGACGGGCGACGGACTTTCGCTCCTGCTTCGGCCTAGCTACAGGAGGATCACGCGCAGCTTCGCCTCGCCCGCACGCAGAACACGAACACGAAACCGAAACCGATTTCCCGGTGGGGGGTCTCCGTTTCACTGCGATATCGGAGGTTGGAGGGTGAGATCGCAGTGAAACGGAGACCCCCCACTTGGAAAGCGGTTTCGGTTTCGTGTTCGTGTCGTGCGTGCGGGCGAGGCGAAGTTGCGCGTGATCCTCCTGTAGCTAAGCCAAAGTAGGAGCGAAAGTCCGTCGCCCAGCAGCCGGTGGCCGGTTGGGCCGGGCGGTGTCCCGGGTGTCCCGGGTGTCCCAGGTGTCAGTAGGAGCGAAAGTCAGTTTCACGTTCGCTGGTGGCCGGGAGGTGTCCCAGTTGGGCCGGGCGGTGTCTTGGGTGTCCCCGGTGTCCTGGTAGTGAGATCGATAGTGAGATCGATACTGAGATCGATGTGGTGCCCCGAGGAGTCCCGTGGTGTCCCGTTGAGTGAGATCGGTAGTGAGATCGCCAGGTGTCCCGCCGTGTCCCGTGGTGTCCCGTTGAGTGAGATCGATAGTGAGATCGATAGTGAGATTGATAGTGAGATCGATGTGGTGCCCCGAGGTGTCCGGTGGTGTCCCGTGGTGTCCCGTGGTGTCGTATGGTGTCCCGTTGAGTGAGATCGATAGTGAGATCGATAGTGAGACCGATAGTGAGATCGAGAGGTGTCCCGCGGTGTCTCGTGGTGTCCCGTGGTGTCCCGTTGAGTGAGATCGATAGTGAGATCGATAGTCAGATCGACAAGTGTTCCGTGGTGTTCCGTGGTGTCCCGTTGAGTGAGATCGATAGTGAGATCGATTGAGTCAGATGTTGGTTCCCTCCCCTCTCCCCCCGCACAATCCCCTTATCACCCGAAGCGTGGTCGTATAGGTATACATGTATCTATATATATATATATATACATGTACATAGAGACAGAGGGAGGAAGGACGAAGGAGGAGGCGCAGTCGGAGGAGAAGGAGGAGGAGGAGGAGGAGGGCGAGGACGAGGACGAGGGGGACGAGGAGGACGAGGAGGAGGAGGAGGAGGAAAAGGAGGAGGAGGAAGAGGAGGAAGAGGAGGGGGAAGAGGAGGAGGAGGAGGAGGAGGAGGAGGAGGAGAGGAGGAGGAAGAGGGGAGGGGGAGAAGGAGGGGGAGGAGGAGGATATTCGGGGGCAGCGGCAGGGGGGGTACGCTCAGAGGGAGACGCATCGACCCCAATTCACCCATTCATCGCACGTGAGGGCCCGATAGTCCCCGTTCAGGACCGTGGGTTCTCCAAGGGCTCCCCCGAGGGCGCGAAGTTATTCGCGCTTCGCGCTTCGCGGTCCTCGTTTCTCCTCCCCCTCCTCCTCGTCCTCCTTTTCTCCCTTTGGGGGGGCGGCGCGAGAGCGCGAAGTTATTCGCGCTTCGCGGAGCGCGGAGCGCGAAGCGCGAAGTTGGGCGCCCTAGGTTCTCGCAGTCGAGAGCATGTCGCCGATATATCGGTGATGTATCGCCGATTCAAGCTCGATGTTCCTTCCCTGACCAGTCCCCCTGTAAGGCTGCTCCTCAGACGTACAAGGGAGGGGGGAAGCAGGAGGAGGAAGAGAAGGATTGAGGGTGAGGGACGGGAGGGAGAATGCCGATGCGAGTGCAGGAAGGCGGCGACGAATCAGACTCGCAACTCGAAACAGAAAATACCCGAGACGTGTACGATCGAACCCGCCCCTTTCTCCACGCGAGGCGAATATTTGCGTGAACGCTCCATACAAAGATATGTACGATCTGCACTGGCCTCATTTCCGCCCTGCCTTCCTTTTTTGATTGACGGCTCTCAAGGACAGCTCCAAGGAGCGGGACAGGGAGCCGCCCTGCCTTCCACGAGTTTGCGACAAAAGTTGCGACAATTGCGCACTTCGTAGCCTCCAAGGGAGCCGCGAAGTCTCGTATGGATCTGTGTGACCCCCGACCCCGCTGGACCTCCTAGGAGCCCACCACAGTGGCGACAGTTTTGCAGCTCGCAGCCACCACCCCGACCCCACTGTGCCTCCCGGTAGACCCCGAAAGCGGCGACGGTTGCGCAGTTCGCAGCCACCCAGGGAGCAGCGCAGGAGGAGGCAGGAGGAGGGAGGAGAAGAGGAAGTGGTGGAGATCACAGTGCCTTGTCCCTCCTCATCCCTCCTCCGCCTCCTCCTCCTCCTCCTCCTGCTCCTCCTCCTCCTTCTCCTCCTCCCACTCCTCCTCCCACTCCTCCTCCTCCTCCTCCTCCTCCTTCTCCTCCTCCTTTTCCTCCTCCTCCTCCTCCTCCTCCTCCTCCTCCTCCTCCTCCTCCTGGTTGGGAACAAAAAGCCTCCGTCGGTTGGGCGCCGCAGGCGGGCGCCGAGGAGGCGGCGCCGAAGGCGGCCGCCGCCGCGGAGGCCGCCCCCGCGGCGCGGACGCAGGAGACTCCGCCCTCCTCCCCCCCCATCCCTTCCTCCTCTCCTCCTCCTCCTCCTCCTCCTCCTCCTCCTCCTCCTCCTCGTCCTCGTCCTCGTCCTCCTCCTCCTCGTCCTCCTCCTCCTCCTCCTCCGCCTCCTCCTCCTCCTCAGCCTCCTCCTCCTCTTCCTTCCCCCCCTCCCCGGTGATCAGTTCGATTCCTTCGATTCAGTTCGATGCTGGTGGCTTCCGATTCCGATTCGATTCGACTTCGGATTTCGATTCGGATGCCGATTCTTCGATGGAAGCTTACTAGCCTGCCCATGTCTGCCGATTCGACTTCTCCCGACTCGGCTGCCGATTTCCGCCGATCCGACTCGTTTCGATCGCCGAGCCGACTTGTCGATTCGATTCTGGGCTCTCCTGCCTCCGGCGGCGAGCCCAGGGGGGAAGTCAGAGGGGGGCGCGGCCTTTCCAGAAGACTCGGAAGGCCTCGGGCCTTCTGAGACGCTTTCTGAGCTTGCCTCGTGACCACGGAAGACTTCTCAGAAGGCGCGAGGGGGGTTCGGAGAAGTCCCGTCGCGTTCTGAGAAGGCTACACCTTAGGCGATGCTTAAGAAAACCTAAATTTTCGTCCAGAGTCTCGATTATTCTTAACTTTTCAATGTAAATCCCAAGATTTTAATAGAAGTTCGGGGTTTTTATTCAAATTCGCAGACTCTGAATTTCTTAACCCATGATTTCTTGAGCATTTCGCAGGGTGTAGCTTTAAGTCGGGCGTGTCCCTCCACAGGAGGAACATTCAAAAATAGTCCAGAGATCGTCTGGGTACGATTTGTTGAGTATGTTCGAATATTCTTGCAGCGTATGGTTTGACAATTGTTTTCCATCCCAAATCCGCCTGTCGGGGACAGGGGCCTCTCCGTGTGGATTGCCCCCGTGGCTCCTGCCTCCTCTGGGTCTCCTGAGGGTTCGCCCTGGCTTCCCTCTTACCTCCTTTTCCGTGGGATGGGTCCTGATAAATCCCTTTTAAGTTCGATGCTATGTGATGCGTTTCTCAGCATGCACACCTCGGTCAGATATGGCCTGCCTGGCACTCCGCCGTCTCCGAATGCAGGCGAGACGGCACCGTGCGTGCAGGAGAGTGTGGTCGGTGCTTAACTCTGTAAGGGTGGGGGAAATGGCCCTTTTAAAAAGAAACAGAAATCCGCCTGTCGGGGACATGCCCGACCTGAGGTCTGCTCTTTCTGCTTCCCCCCCCCGCTGGCGCGCCGCCGATCCCTCGCTCGCCCCTCCCGTGCGCGACGACGCTGACCACGAGGGAGCGCTGGCCCAGACCTGCGGCACGGACGAATGGCAGCGCACTGCCGGCGAAACACGGACGACATGCACGGAGTCGGGTGTTGCTAGAAGTCGGGAGCCTCGAGACGGGGGTCAATGCAGACGGGGGTCAGCCAGGGCATGAGCTGCAGGATCCTGCGAAGACCCCCTCTGGCGGACCCGGGTTAGCGAGCCGCTCGTGGCCGCGAGGCGGCCGCGCGTATTGGCTGACCCGGGTTTGCGAAGACTTACGTTGCAGTTTTTTTTCTTGCATTGCAGTTTTTGGTGTCCTGCTGACCCGGGTCTGGATTGACCCGGGTCAGAAGATCCCCGAATGCACGGAGTCGGGTGTTGCTAGAAGTACCCCTGGCCCAGGGTGCCCCCAGGATTCTGGGGGCGGCCCAGGCTGCCTCCAGGGCACCCCTCACGATGCCCCGAGGGCCGCAGGGGCCCAGAAGCAGTGCGAAAAGCTGGGGGCACCTTGGGCCAGGGGTACTTCTATCAACACCTGACGGAGGGTTCCGCCCCTCCCCCCCCCCGCGCAGGCCTTGAAGGGCCCTGTCCCTGGCGGTAATTGCCGCGCGCTCGCCGCCGCCGCCGCTCTCTTCACCTCCGCCTCGAGAGGATGTGTGGGGTCAGAGCGTCGAAGGATGCCGAACGTGCATTGCGAGAACACGTGCACGAACTCTTGCGCTGGCTCACCAGCATGGTTGTCCCAGATTTGTGTGCGACCTGGGATGGCGCACGCTCGCTTGAAATGGCCGCCTTCCTACGACTGTTTCCTGGGGGCCAAACGCCTTGGACCCTCCCTCTGCCTTGCCCTCCCTCCCTCCCAGCCCTCCCTCCCTCCTCCCCCTTCTTCTGTGCCTTCGCCCTCCCTCTCCCTCCTCCGCCTCTCTCCCTCCCCTCGAGGAAGCTCAGGAGGGGAAAAAACACACAGACACAATTAATCCTCGATTCCCCAGAAAATATGGGAAAATATGGGAAGTGGGGGGGAAGACAGAAACCGAGAAAATATTGGAAACTATGGTGTATATTTTTATTTGTGTCTATTTATTTGTGTGTCCTGGGGCCCCTTCAGAAGCGCGGACATGGACTAAGGCGCCTGGATGAGCGATGGCTCTGGCTTCCTTGCGACATCGGTGCGCTCCGTCGCCACATCGGGCGGCACTGGTTCCATATCTCGGGGGGCGGGCTGCCCGATCCGTGGATCTAGCGCCCACGCACAAGGTCCAAGCATCCGCCGTCCATGTGAGGGTGCGTCCGATCTTCCACCCGATCTTCCACCCTCCTCCTCCTCCGCCTCCTCCGTGCCTCTCCCTCCTCCCTCCCTCCCTTCCTCTCCGCCTCTTCCGCCCTCCCTCTCCCTCCTCCGCCTCTTCTCCTCCACCTTCCACCTCCTCATCCCGTCTTCTCTTCCTCCTCCTCCGCATCTTCTCCTCCACCTCCTCATCCTTCTTCCTCCTCTTCCTCCTCCTCTTCCTCCTCCCTCCCTCCCTCTCCTTTCTCCCCGTGGCCCTGGCGGACCCGACGGTACCGATGGGGCGTCCCGCAGAATGGCAGGCACGGCCCTTCTCTGCGCCCCGTGCTGGCTTCTTGTTAAAGCCCGCCCGCGGCCTCCTTCCCTCCATCCTCCTGCGCCACTGTCGTGGCATGAGTTGGGATGTATCACCAGTTGCCTATAAGAGGGCATTGAGAGGCATGGAAAGTCGGGCGTCAGTACCATCGTCGTCATCATCATCTGCAGCAGCATCACCAGCATCATCCTCAGCATCAGGTTCATCACCACCAGCAGCATCATCGCCATCCCCGTCATCCTCATCACCATCATCATCATCATCATCATCATCGCCATCATCATGATAGACATCTTCAGCATCAGCGGCAGCACCATCGCCATCTACCTCCTGATCCTCATCCTCCTTCACCTTATCATTTTCCTCCTCCCCCTCCTCCTTATCATTATTGCCATCATCGTCGTCATCATCATTAACATGATCATCCGCATCATCAGCATCATCACCATCATCATCATCATCATCATCATCATCATCATTATTATTATCAGCATCACCATCATCATCATCATCATCATCAGCATCACCATCATCAGTATTATCTTCATCAGCGTCGTGAACCTCATCATCAGCATCATCATCACCAGCATCATCATCATCATAATCATCGCCGTCGGCATCATCGCCAACATCAACATCCTCGTCAGCAGCATCTTTATCATTTGCATCAGCAGCTTGATCATCATCAGCATCATCATCGGACTACGCATCATCATCATCATCAGCATCATCAACGACGTCATCAGTATCATCATCATCATCACCGTCAGCATCTCCATCAGCATCATCATCATCAACCACATCGTCAGCATGACCACCACCAGCAGCAGCAGCTGCATCACCATCATCAGCATAAGCACCACCATCATCATCATCAGCATCATCATTATCATCAGCATCACCGTCATCATCATCATCATCATCATCATCATCATCATCATCATCATCATCATCGTCATCATCCTCATCCTCATCCTCATCCTCATCCTCATCATTACCACTATCATGTTCACGACCATCAGCAGCATCTTCATCAGTTCCATCATCTCCATCCCTCTTTCTCATATTGACCTTAATCGTCATTGTCGTTGCCGTCGTCATCGTTTTCGTCGTCGTCGTCCGTCCTGTTAGGTCTAAGTGGTGGAGCTGCGTGCCGCGAAGGCGCATGGCCTCACATCGCACGCCTAAGCTCAGGCGCAGCTCCGATCCTGGGAGCCCACTGCACGCTCGGAGAGTGGAGCAGGGCTCCCCATGGGTGATTGATAGATTGATTGATCCTCGTCAATGCCGTCGTCCAAGTCCAAATGCAACTCCAAGTCGTCGGCGTCGTCATCCTCGGACGCTGCTGGAAGCTTTCAAGGGAGGCATGGCGGGGGGTCATGAAGGAGGGAGGCAGGGGGACTGAAAGGGGAGGGAGGCGGGGGAGGACGAGGAGGAGAAGGAGGCGGAGGGGGAGGGGGAGGGGGGAGTAGGCGGCGGAGGGGGGAGACAATGAGGATGAGGTTTGAGGATTGCATTCGAAGACACCTATATGTTGTTTGGAAGGTTTGGAGAGGATATGGGGGGGGATAATGGGAGAGGTGGAGGTGGTCCATATCCTTCCTCCGTGTGGCGTTGTATGTGTGAGACGAATGTGTGCGGCGCTAGGGGGAGACTCACATCATGAAAACGGCATACCGACCACCAATGCATATATTGAAACGTAAATTTCGAGTTTGCGCTGCCCTTTGGCGAGGGTCACAAACCTAGCAGAGATCTGTCTTTGAGATACCTAAGACATCGGGCTGCAGAGCACGGAATGTGCGGTTGTTTGGGCTCGAAGTTGTTCCATCTTGTTTGCGAGAGTGGGCAATTTGTTTTGAGAGTACAGTTTCTCGTAATAGACATTTTGGGATTGCCTTTTTGACGGTCTGTGTGGTGGCCACGGGAATGTTGGGTTGATCGATTGATTATACGAATTCAGTTTCGTATTGACGTCCAGGGAACGAGTAAAGTATGGCGGCGATGTTTCTGTCGAGTTTGTCTGAAAGGATAAGCCCGTACCTGTTGCGAATTCTAGATGCACGCGGGCCACGAGGAGCTCTACGAGGTCTCAAACGGTAGCTGGGTCGGCGGTTTGCAGCGAACGCCCAATCTTGAAAACGACCCTTTCTCCATCCATGCGTTGCTGGATGAAAGCAAGATGAGCAAACACGGCGCTGCGGCGATAGCCACATTCTGCAAACCACCCGCCCTCCCCCGTGCACCTTCGGAAAACTCCTAGTAAGCTTCGGGCCGACAGGCTTGGTCGTGTGACGTGGATGCGACGACCATCTTGAATAGTGGTGGAGGAGGCTCATGGGCGGCGGCGGCCGACGCGGGTACTCGTTGTCCCTTTCACGTCTCTCTCCCTCGCCCATGGATTTCTCGCCCATGGATGTTTCGACCTCGCCGCCCTTGTCACGATTCGGTCCCCCCCCATCGCAGATGGATGCTCCCTCCAGGCATCCGCACCCGCCCTCGGGCCTTCTGTCTCATTCTTCCATCCTTCCGCTCCCTGCTATACCATCCTCCCGCTCCCTCCGCCCCGCGTGTGGGGATGAGCGCGCGTACGGAACATGGGGATTGGCGAGGAGGAGGAGGAGGAGGAGGAGGAGGAGGAGGAGTCCACGGATTCCATCAAAGGGCCTCTCCGTGCGGGCGAGGCACAGACCGTTCAAAAAAGGCCGACTCGGGAGTAGGCAGGCACCTCGTCGCCCGTGATTCGTCGCCCAGTCGAGATGGTTTGGTTCGAGGGGGGCCGAGCGCAAATTGCCATCCACACGCTGCCACATCGGCTAGCATGCGCAACTGGGTTGGCTCCCCAGGGTGAGCGGTCACAAGGCCCCAGGGGACTTGCGGACCACGTGGCCCCGCCTCCTCAACAGAATGCGCAATCCCCGTGCCCGATATGTCCAGCTCGAAGCATGGCACCAGCGCCACCGGCGCAGCTGAGCGCCACATGCAGAAGGCAAGATGCCACGCTGCTGAGCCTCGATGACTTAAGGCCGGTTTGTCTTCTTTGTGTAGGCACACGGAATGGCATTGTTAGAATCCCCGCGGCGTAGGGCCGACCACCAAACTAGTGCACCCAGCAGAGCAGTAATTGCCCCCCCCCGCTGGGGGGGAGGAGAGAGGAGGAGGAGGAGGAGGAGGAGGAGGAGGAGGGGCCTCGGAAAAGGAAGGGTGAGGGCGCTGAGGAGCAGGAGTGCGAGGAGGAGGAGGAGGAACTGGAGAAGGAGGAGGAGGAGAAGGAGAAGGAGTAAGAGAAAAAACGGCCAGTGTTAACCCGAAACTCATCGACGATATTGTAGTAAACCTTCCGGAGCTCCCTCTCCGCAGGCCCCCTCAGCAATTCATTCTCATTGAAGGAAGTGCCCCGCTTCATGACAACCGTTTGAAAATCCGGAACCGTGCAAGAACACCATTCTTGGGACTTCAATGCCGCGAATTATCTTAGTTGTTGCGACGGACGACCCTGGATCGCACCAGAACATTATTCCTGGGGCTTCAACGTTGCGAATCAACATGGCTGGTACGCCCTGACATGCCAACATCGTGTTAAAACACCATTCTGGAACGTTATCCTTGAAACGGCTGCGAACTCTTAAGACGAATGTGTTCGGCGCTAAGGCGAGAGCCGCACTGTGAAAAGGAGCCGCCCTCCATCCGTGAACCTCTGACAAAGTTGAGCACGAATGCGCGCGGCGTTGAGGCGAGAGCCACATTACAAAAAAGTGTCCGCCCTCCACCGGTGCAACCCTTACGATTTGTTGAGACGAATAATGCGCGTGGCGCTAACGCGAGGGTCACATTTTGAAAACGGCCCGCCCTCCATCCGTGAAGCTTTTGCAGATGTTTAAGACGAATGCGCGCGGCGCTAAGGCGAAGACAACATGTTTAAAGCATTACGCGCCGCGCTAAGGCGAGAGCCGCGTTTTCAAAAGCACCCGCCCTCCATTTGCGAAATTGCTGCAACTTCTAAGCTTCAGGATCGTCAGTTTAAAGGAAAATTCGGGAGAAACGCCCAGCCCGCCCTTTCGACCAGCCTCGGGGCGCGACAGGGAGGTATAATTGATAAGGAAAATGGATGGAAGAGGAGATGGCAAAGGACGGGGGGGTACAGTGGAGACCCTTGCCAAGTCTAGGGTGCCCTGGGTTTTTGGGTTTCGATGGTTTTGCGATGGAAAGCGCGACGCTCCCACGCCAAAAATCAATGGACGTCCTGCGATCTCAGGGTTGGGTTTCTTGTGGAAGGTTTCTCGTGGACCTGGGCTCCGCTGTAAGAAGAGGGATGGAAGGGGGAGATGGCAAAGGACGCGGGAGGGAGGATACTCCTGTCGTTCCCCGGCCGCCCCCCCCCGCCCGCAGGAGACGCCCGCCGCCTTCGCCGGAGGATGGCCGTCGCCGCCCACCGAGGCAGAGATGGAGGAAGAGGCCCGGAGGGCGGAGGCGGCGGAGGCGGCGGCCGCGGCGGCTGCGGCGGAGACGCCGCCGGCGGACGAGGCGCTGGGGCGCCGCGCGCGCGGCCGATCGGTGGGGCGTCGGCTGCGCTCGGGGGCAGCGGCTCTCTTGGTATCGCTCGGACGTGTGCGTCTTTTCCTCGGCGAGGACCATCGAGGAGCATCCTGGATCATTTGGGGAAGAAGCCACGCACGAAGCCGAGAAAGCACAGGGAGTGGACGTCCGAGCGATGGCCAGCTCTAGGCCTCCTAGATGGGGTCCGAGTTGAAGGGGTCGGAGGATCGCGCCGCATCGCCGAGGCATCGCCGATGCGGCTCGATGCGGAGCCCGACTTGCTTCACGCGGACGTCGCCGATGAGTCGCCGACGTCGCGGATGCATCGCCAGTGCATCGCCGATGCATCGCCGATGCATGGCCGATGCACCGCCGATGTATCACCGATGCGGCGCGATCCTCCGACCCCATCTACTCTCCGACCCCATCTAGGAGGTCTCTAGCGACGATCGGGGGTGGACAGACCTACCCTGACACGTCGATTCGCGAATTGGCCGTTTTCGGTCTGCGAGAGGGCGTCGCGGCCGTTGTTTTTGCGGGTCCGGGTCCGTCGGTTTCGGTCCCGGGCCGCTTCCGCTAAAAGGGAGGTTTACCAAAGGGAGGTTTGTCCATTGCCGAGACGAGGGAGAGGGCTCGGAGCACGCCGCGGAGCCGAGCGGTGGGCCGGCACGATCGGAGCTGGTGCGGGAGGAGAGGGCACGCAGGCCGGCAGCAGCTCCTGCCCGCCTGGAGCAGGGCTCGCTGTCGCTGCCGCCGCGAGCGTGGTCCTCGGAGCCGAGATGCCACCTGCCCAGCAGCGGCCGCTGTCCGTTGAGGACAAGACTTGCTGTTGAGCATCGCTTCCGTTTTCCCGCACACGTGGTGGGTGTCCCAAGTGGGGGGTGGGTTGCGCTCAAGGGCAATGCTTGGTGGGGAGCGTGGGCTCCGAAGGGGGGATGAATCGACGCCAAATCGCCAACTCATCGCCGATAGGGTCCCGAGGGCATACCCCGCCCAGGAACGCGTGGTTCTGCGATTGGTGCCCCTTCGGCGATCTATCGGCGATGCATTGTTGATTCCACCGTAAGCTGGTCCCCCCTCACGCTCCGGCCGATCGGTGGGGGGGGGCGGTGGGAGCGGCATGACGCCGATGAAAAGGGGTATGAGGAGGTGGAGCAGGAGGAAGACGAGAAGCAGGAGGAGGAGGAGGAGGAAGAAGAAGAGGAGGAGTAGGAGGAAGAGGAGGACATGGAGGGGGGCAGCGGCGATGGCGGCGGCGATGAGGGCGAGGGTGAAGACGAGGGGGAAGAGGCGGAGGATGTCTCGGGCTTCAGGGCCTCGAGCACTGCAGGCTGCCTGCTTGCGCGGAGGCCTGGCGGGCTCGCTTGGCCGGCGTCGTCCGCGAGCTTGGACTCCCCAGCCCTGGGAATCGCCAGCAGGCTTGCCCAGCGGCGTGGAGGGCGGTCGAGGACGTGGGCCGGGCGCTCCAGGTACGCGCGGAGCCCTGGGCGAGGGCGCAGCGCGCCTTCGCAGGGCTGGAGCAGCAGGTGCGCTGGCAGTGGCTGCTACGCGCTCCCCCGCCCGGCCAGACAGCGCGGCTTCGCTTCGCTGGCGGGAGCGGCGCGTGGAGCTGGCATCTGCCGTCGACGGAGGACGACCACGTCCTGGCGGACGCGCATGTCTTGCTGGCCCTGGCGCTTCGCTTGCGGCTGCTCCCGCCCGCGGCCGCCAGTGCTTCCCGCCCCCGCCTCCGGGAGGACGGCATGCGTACTCCAGATGTCGTAATAAAAGGGAAGGGGTCTCATTTCGGGGGGGGGGGTCTCTTCCAGGCTATCTTGGAGGGCCTGGGGGGGTCTGGGCACGATGTTTTGGAGGGTTCTCCCACAGGGGGGGGGGGTGAAATGGCTTGTCTTGGAGGGTCCAGACCCCCTCCCTTTTATTACGAAATCTGGAGTAACTAGCGGCGCCGAAATGGCCTCCGCGCCATGGGACCGCGCGTTGGCTGCCATGTCCGCGGCGGCGCGGTCCAGCGCCATGACGACCTCGGGGGATGGGTGGCGCGATGGTTGCGCGCCCGTGGGGCCACGGGCGTGGCCGCGCAAATCCCCACCGCGGGACAGGAGGCTGGGAAGGCACCGTTAAGACAACGCGCGTTGATGCGCTCTGCACGGACTCTGCAGTCGGCGCATTTTGCGTCGACGCGGTGTCGCAGACGCAGCCTTCGGTGCGCTCCCGAACCGAGCCGTCCTGAACGGCGCTGCCGCGGCGGCCCCGGAGGAGCGGAAGCACCGCCGCGACCCCCCGTTGATCGCTGCCTTCTCGCTGCGGCCCCCCTGTCGCGTTGGGCGAGAAACGCAGGGGTTCCTCCGCACCTGGGCGCGCGGGGGCGCCGCGGTGCTGGTGGCGGCCCGCCATGGCCTCGGCAGCAGTGCAGCGCGGCAGCGCAAATGCTTTCCGAGCGGCCTGCCCCGATGCGGGCGGGGCGCGCCGCCGCTGCGCGGGCGGCGCCGAGCCCGCGCCCCGCCGCGCGCGAGCAGAGCGCGCGATGCTGCGGCCACGGGGGGCGCTGGCGGAAGAAGCGTTGGCCCGCGGCTGCAGCGCCCAGCTTGCCCACTTCCCCGCCCCCTGCCTCCGGCGGGCGCGGGCGCAGGCGCGCGCCCATCGGCGGGGTCGGACGGCTGACGCCCCGTCGCCGCGCGCCCGTCGCCTTCGTTTGATGGTTCTCTTCCACGAAGTCCCCCCTCCTTCCTCTTCCGCCTCTCGCTTCTGCCCGAGCCAGATTCCTCGGGCTTGCCTCCAGTGGAGGCCAGCCCGCCAAGGCCGCCATGTCCGCGGGCGGCAAGGACAGGAATAGGGGCGGCGGCAGCAGGAAGAGGAATCACGGGACGTCGAGCAGGGAGATGAGCAGGATATTCGGGGAGGGGCGGAGGAGGATGTGGAGGAGGAGGTGGAAAGGGACGCGGTGAATGACGCGGGGGGGAAACAGCAAAACGAGGAGGAAAGGTCCATTGGCACGGGCGGGCTTGTGAAGGGGAACGAGTGCAATTGTTGTAAGGGTTTTGGTTGTTTGTATGGGTTGCACTCGACATTGGAGCTCCATGGCGTGTTGGGCATCTGTTTTGCACACGGAGGACACCCTGAGAGCCCAAGTGTTGGCACGCGTCGTTCGAAATTAACTCAAATGTTAATGTGGTCGTGCTCGTGTACGTCTGCGTGTGCTCGTGCTCGTGCACGTGTGTTCATCACGGGACTAGCTCGCCACTCCACCAGTATTACGCATGGGCCGCGCACGTTTTTGCCCACTGGGTGGGCGACTGCGCTGAAGCCCGAAGAAGAGATCCAGGAGGGCGGAGGAGGCAGTTCCTGCTCGGCCGCGCCCACCCCCCCGGCCGACACGGCCCCCCCAGTGCCAGGCGCCAGCCACCGCGGACGCAGCGGAAGGCGGCGCCCCGCCCCGCCGCGTTCCCGCGGCATGGGGACATCTCGAGACCCTCTCGGCCCGTCTCGGGGCCCTCTCGGGCCAGAACAAAAAACCATGCGACAAGGCGCGGGGAACCCCAGGGCCCACGCGACGCGCCCCAGAAGATTTGGCAACGCGTGGTCCGCGCCGTCTAGAGAGTCCCCAGGATCGAGGTAAAGATCCTCAGAAGCCTGAGAATACGCTAACTCGTGCCTCAAGGGCACGGTGGCGGATTTTCGGTGTCGGGGGGCCCTTCCCAGCTTCGGCATTGTCAAACAAACTGTCTTGGGAATGGGCCGGGACGTCTGGGAGTCGACGTTATGAACAAAGCATGACGTCGAGATTTTGGGGAAAGCGCGGTGACCACACTGCGCGGTGAGTCAGTGGGGATTCGGGGTGGCCAGACGGTCCCAAAACCGTGCGGCGACCGATTTTGCCGAGCCGTGCCTCGAGGTTTGATGATCCGAGGTTTTGTGCTGCAGGTTCGTGTGGTGTTTCGCGTTGCAATACAGCGTTGGTTGGTTTAGGAATAATTTGCTGTAACGCGCGCTGTAAACACATACGGCAATCAGTGCGACGGGTGTTGATACTGTATTCCCGCGCGCCGCACGAATGTGAATCTGAATCGAACCTACGCAACAGAGAGAGTTTGAATTGGAGAGGAATTGACATGTTAATGCCCAGAGTTCGAAAGGGTTCCGAATCGTAGAAAAAAACACCCGGATTTGCTAGAGGATTGCGAGGGCCAGGGAGAAAGATCGATTTGGAGAGGAAGTTGCGTACGGAATTCTGAAGCGTAGAGACATTTAAATCAGGATTGCCAGAGGATTGCCGGTGCCACAAAGGGATATTGAGTTGGAGAGGATTTTGCATTTGAGCTCCCAGACAGGAAAACATTTTAGAACTGCGGCTGTGCAATTTAAGTTCCAGACTTACAAGGGATTCTGAACCACGGCGGAATTGAACTCAGATGTGCCAGAGGATGCCGGGGCCAGGAAGGAATAAGATTACAAGGGCCAGGGAGAAATATTGAGTTGGAGTGGAGTTTGTAGCTCAGTTCCAGAGTCGGAAAGGACTCTGAATCGTGGCGGAATTGAAATCAGACTCGCCCGATGATTGCAACGGCCAGGAAGACATGTGGATTTGGAGATGAATGTGTAATTGAGTTGTTTGATTCTAGCTAGACTTTAACCATATTCTGAATCGTACAGCAATTCGAATCAGACTGGCGCGAGCATTGCCAGGGCCAGAGAGAAATATTGAGTTGGAAAGACATATGTTTCTGAATTTTGAGTGTTGGAAATGATTATGATTCGATATTCCCTGCAAGTTCCTCTCAAACTCAATACTTCCCTTTGGCCCTGGCAACAATATGGGAATTCTGACTCGAATGTATCTACGAGTCAGAACCCTTTCGAACTCTGGACATTCAGTTGCACATTCCTCCCCAACTCAATAGTTCTCTCTGGCCCGAGCATCCTCTGGTACATCTGAGTCCACTTCCGCCGCGATTCGGAATATTTTCTGAGTCTGGAAATTCCAATGCCAATTCCTCTCCAACTCAATAGTTCTCGCGGGCCCTTGTACTGCTCTGGCAATTCTGAGTCCGATTCCTCTGCGATTCAGAATCCCTTCTAATTCTGGAAATTGAGTTGCAAAGTCTGCTCCAACTCAATATCACTCTCAGTCCCCGGCATCCTCTGCCAAATCTCTAAAATCCTTTCGAACCTTGGAAAGTCAATTTCACAATCCTCTCGAACTAGTTGTTTGCCACGCTGGCAAAGTTGGTTTTCACTTATCGACGATTGAAGTCGAAGTATGTCAATCTTTGGAGTTCAATTGCAAATTCCTTGCCAACTCAATATTTCCCCCTGGCGCCGGTATCATTTGGCACATCTGAATCGAGATCCACCCGCGATTCGGAATCCCTTCTATATCTGGACATTCACAGCAAACTCCTTTCCATCTCAATAGTTCTCCAGGCAATTCTGAGTGGAATTTCCACGCGCTTCAGAATCCTTTCTGAGTCTGGACATTTGACTGCAAATTCTGGAGTCCAGATTTTGTCTAACTCTTGGAGTTTCGAATGACAGTCCTCCAATTCAATTGTTTTCGCTGGCCCTGGCAATCCTTTGGCATTTCTGATTCGGATCCCTCTTTGATTCGAAGTCCGTTCCAATTACAGCATGGCCACCGAGACAAATTGTTTACTTTAACGCTTATATTACAGTTACAGCATTAATTGCTCGGCGAATCAACCATGGGATTAAAGCTGTTCGAGACCTCAAGATCCAGCTTGCCATCGAGCGCGTATTCAATGTACAAAATTGCTGCCTAGAGCGCAGGCTGCTCCACCCGCGGCAGGAACTTCCCAGCCTTCTAGATTTCATTATTCTCCGCTGCAGCAACTTCCTAGATGCATTTGCGCAATCTCTCCTCGCATCTCTCGAACTCCTGCTTGGCGCGCGTCCACTGCTCCATAATTCCGTCCAAGGCCTTGCGATCCCTCTGGAGCATCGCCGCGGCATGCTGCGAGTCTTGACCAGGCGGGACTGGCTTGGCTGCGGCAGGGGGCGGCTGCATGAATGGTAAGCACGAGGGACTCTGCTGCCTTCCTGGCATCTGCTGCGGCGTCCGCTGCCAGCCTGCGGCGAGGGCTCGCACCCGGTGGTGCTCCGACTGAGGAGCACCGATTGCAGAAAAAAGACAAAGAGCGTGTTCTACCGCTGCTGGCGGAAAACCGGGGGGGGTCACTACCGGTTCGAACCCTTCCCCCCCCCCTTCCGGAAAACCCGGGGGGGTCACTACCGGTTCGAACACCCCCCCCTTTCATCATGAAAAGGGGGGTGGGTCACTACCGGTTCGACCCCCCCCCCGTCGTGACTTTTCATGAAATGTGGCATGGAGGGTTATCGACCGATCCTGAAGTCAGAACGAGGCCTCAGAAGCCCATCGGAAAGCGAACATCTGAGCAGGCGAGCACACTTGAACACAACACATCGTGTTGACGCTTCGCGTATCCCCGCCAGCGCCTCCAGAAATGATGCTGGGAACGGACGGCGGCCAGGAGGACGAGAAGTCGAGTTTTGGAGATATGTTGTGATCGGAGGTTGTTGAAGGACATTTATAAGGCCATCTTGGTGGTTCTCTTGGGGTCTGGGAGGCCAGGGAGGGGAGGGTCAGGGAGGCCTCGAGGCCCTCATGGCTCAAGAGGGAGGGGGAGGGCAACCCGGCCACCCCCCTTGGACACTCAAGCATGGTGCCTTTGGGGCACTGTGCCAGATTCGGGCGAACGGGTCCTCTGCAGAGGGGTTCTCAAACGTGTACGCAGGAGTTCGTGCCATCGTTCGTGCTGGATTGTGCCCACTGGAGGCAGGCTGCGCTGCATGTGGCACCGCTGGTCGGTAAGAGAGGCTACGCCCCGTGAGCCGCGGCATGAACTACTGCATACTTGTTTGGCGACCCCGTTAGGAACGATCCCCTTTGCCCGGAACCAACTATGGGGCCGCTCTTGGGCGTCTCTTGGGCGCTCTTGGGGCTGTCTTGGGGCGCCCTTGCGCCTCCATTTGGGGCCCTCGTGGGCCATCCGTTGCCATTTTGGCTTCGTCTCAGCATCGATGTGGCTTCGTGTCTGTGTTGTTCCAGTGTCGTTCCAGTGCCGTTCTCTGCTCGTTCCCCTGTCGCTCCCTCTTCGCTCCGCCGTCGTGCCTTCTTCCGTCCAGCCTTGCCCTTAGTGGGCCCCGGAAACGGCAGGGCCGTTTTTTCACCGTTTTCGAAAAAGTGTCCCTTGAAAATGGAAACGGCAAAAAAACGGCGACCTGAAACGGCAACAAAAACGGCTCCAGGAGTGGAACCGGGGCCGGAACCCCACGGAGGCCTTGCCCCAGAGCGACGCGAGAATGAAGCCGCAGCGCGCATCAAGCGCGCGTGGGTCATGGAAGGGCCCCGCGGCAGCGCACCGCGCCAGA